AAACTTCAGGCTGAGTAAAAGCACAAGCACAATCCTCAAGTCGACCTGCGATATCGGTTCAAGAGGAAAGAGAACTAATTCCGGCAATGGGCTGGTAATGCTGCCAGAATGATGGACCATCGCTGAATCAAATAAATTTTGCACCAGGTTTCAAGTATTCACGGAAGTATAGATCAGTGGCAAACCGAGCTAAACCAATTTGTTGGAGCAACGGATAAAAACCACGGGAACAGAACCTTGTGGAATTGAGGCTCGTTCATCCAGCAGTCAATTAGCAGAAAATAATGATGAGGAAAAAATTTACGTACTGCTTGGATTTGAACGTGGCAACTCTAAAATGCAAAGTAAGCTACTTCAAAATCAAGCAGTTCAAAGCCACACCGAGCATTCTTTGAAACGTTAAAGGATAAAACTGTACGGCTTCATGAACTATGCTTAGGGACAAAGTCAGTTTAAAATATGACACCTTAATTAAAACTGAACTCAAACTCCGCCATGCATGGTCGCTGGCGCTATTTTCCTCATAACTGTTCGATGCTCGCTGTAATAGTTTCACAGGTAGCCATCATCCTCGAGGAACAAAGAACTGAACAGATGGTAGGCAAAAGGGTGTACCACTTAATAGGTGAATAAAGCCGAAACATTTTATAAATCGTATCAAAACCCAACTACCAAGTTTACTACAATGATCTAATCCTTCTTTTCTTTCACACGATAAATCAATACGCAGCAGACTTTTCTCTCTATCATCAGATGGAGGTCTAACACCTGTGAAACACACTGACAATAAAATTCGCGCGTGTTAAACGTATATTTAGATGCACTCATCCGGAGGCGATCATAAAATCAGTCGTCGATTGCCATATTTAATCGTTTGCTCACTGCACTGCGATAATTGAGTCAGAGTGTCCCTCGGCGGAAGTTTCCAGTGCAAATAAATTGATTTAAAAATTTTAACTGAAAGTAATTATTATTTTTTATAAAATTACACTCCAGGTTAAATATAATCCTGGTGGTATGAATTCAGTTAAGCTCGAGCCCTTTACAAAGGGTTAGGGCGCTGCAGTACTTTTTTGAAATCCTGGCTGTTTCAGGTACTATCGCTTTCTGCCGTTCATTCACCTCGTTCGTTTCGTCAATTGACCTTAGTAAACGGCATTATTTTATTTTCACTGCACTAAGGGAACCGATCATTACAGGAATGGCCTCC